AATGGAGATACTTCTTGTGTATAATCCCATAATCCATTTCGAAAGGGACCACCCGTGTCGGTCCGAAATACCGAATTGTAAAGGAATGGCTCTCATCAAAATTCTTTCCATTCTTGTTTGAAAAGAGAATCACTACTTGCTTAAGTAAACATCACTTTTGAATAGAATCTGCCAGCAATGGGCAGAAAATATTTCTGTTCAATCAACTTATATTCAGATTATCGATTACTTTTGAAATATAAATGCATTTTTTTGTTTACAGCTATCTGTGCAGCTTGTAAGAGGATGGGTAAACCCAACGGCTCGTTTTGACATTATTGTCTGCCTTGATACGATTACCAAACATTCTCAGCAGACCTGTGAAATGAATCACTTTAAGCAAAACGGTGTGTTATTTGCACTCGGTTCTCACGAATTGTCATTGAACGAGAAAGAAAACATATCTAGTATTTCTTTATCTCACTATTTACCTTTAGTTACTTTAAATAGTTGGTAGAAACATGTTTTAACTGGTTTTTGGTTACTTTAATTTTTCGTTTTGTATTTCCAAATATGAATAATTTTCAAATTTCAAATTTTCAATGATTCGGAAATTTATATTCCTTGGGGTCGTGTAAGCATGGTGAAGAATCAGGGGACATGGTACAAGTGAAATGGGTTTTTTGTTTAAACTTTGGTAACCATCGTGTTTCACTTATGTATAACAAGAACAGCCCACCGTCAAGTGATGAAGAAGGGACATGCCTTTCGAGACAACTTTTAGGGGTAACTACACCGAATTTGCCTGTCCTATGGAAAGAAACTCCCATCAGTCATCGTGTCTATCGATGCTGAACACACGTCATAATTGCCATTGCATCTTTTCGTTTCTTAAAGTAGTGACTGCAACGGATACTGATAGCGAATTAAAACCTTGTTGTGGCTAATCCTCTATGTCCTGCAGTGCGGGACGGGCATCCCATTAGTGATCTACTCATGGATAGAGGAAAAAGGACAGCTTCTGTTGTGATGGAGCACCCGTAGGTAGAAGTCTGACTTTTGCTCCGTGACGCTTTTACCGGACCTTATGAGACCAGGACCTACGGCGTAAAGTGGATTCCGAATCACTACAAACATCCATGGCACCGCCGGGACTCGAACTTGAAACCTGTGGTACTGAGCGCCAGAGCGCTAGCTACTCGACCATTCAGGCCCGCGAATTAAAATCTAAGTTTTCTTACATGCCAGCTGTACACATTATCACTCGACTATGAATATGTCTTGATATAATATTATAAAAAAATTTTAATGATTAACTTTTTAAAATTATGCTTCACGTCATGTTTTTATTTTTCGAAATCTGGTTAAGAAAACCCTACCAGGCAGCTTGACTATGGGTGAGAGGTGTTTTACACATATTGTCCAAATCTCCAACGATTCTCCTGGTTTTCAAAAGCCATGACTGCAAACAGCACCTGTAGCAGAATCCAATCTGAGATTTGCTGCACTCTAGCGGCATTAATTATCACTGGGCCATGAGTCAAGCTAGCTGTGAGCCTGACTGAGAAATATGACTGTTAAGAGTAGGGCTGACAGCCCTACCCCTTAAAAAGAAAAGATCTCCTGTTTCGAAATATACCAGTAAGCAAACGGCCTTGACCCACCATGAAGTTGTTGCGCCAATGAAAAAGAAGTAGTATATATTTAATCACTCACAGGAAAAACAAGTAATTTTATACCATATGATTGTCTGCGTAAAATTAGAATCATTATTTACCTTCATGATTATTTTAATAAGCATTATTTTTTGATAACCATAGGATGCCACTAAAATGCATTCCAACAAAATGTTCAGTAGCTTACAAACTATTTAACAACTATGCTGAAGTACTCATCCAGTCACCAAATAATGAAGTTGCGCCCTATCGTATTGGATACATAATGACCTTAATAGCTCATAGCGGCCTGCTGGCCAATTGGCTAACGCTCTGGCCTTTGGTATTACAGGCTTCAGTATTCCTGGTGGTGGCATGGTTGTTTGTTAGCGGTTCGGAATCCATTTTAAACTGTAGATCCCGGTCTGTTAAGCCCTCGTGTGCAAAAGATGACAGTAGAGCGACAAACCAAATCCAACTGTAGGTCCTGGTCTAATTAGTCGAAAGTGTGCAGAAAAGGACAGTAGAATGACAAACCAAACCAAGCAATAGTTTATAAGTTACTGGGTTATTGATAAAAGTAAAATAAATTATTTTAAAGACACTTTATCAGTCAATTTTTGTATCTCACTCTTTACAACATTTAAGGCTACTTTAACTGTTTAGAATTTCGAGGTTTTCACGTGTATATCACTTCAATTTTTTTTAATAAATTTAATATTATTATTTTCAACATAAAACTATTAAAAGATTACGATCAATATACATATAGATAATATATTCAATTAAAATGATATAAATGTTTAAACGTTGTTAATATCAATCCATCAATAGCAGAGCTTTTCTACAGCTTTCATATGAAAAAACTAGAAATACTAATTTAATCCCAAATAATACAAAAGTAATTATCATTAAAGGAACCTTAGTTATAGAATTGAACAAAATAACACAAGAATCTCTTTGAAAAATGAAAATCAATAAAATTCATTCAGTTCTATGAAAATGTGCGGCCTGATAGCCAATTGGCTAGCTTTATGGCCTTTGGTTCTACAGGCTTCAGGCTTGAATCCTGGTGGATGGTTTGTTAGTGGTTCGGATCCACTTTAAACTGTAGGTCCCGGTCTAATTAGCCCAAAGTGTATAGAAAACAACAGTAGAGTGACAAACCAAGCAATAGTTTATAAATTACTGGGTAACATTTTTCGTGACATTAATATAATTAGCTACTAAACTCTTGGAACAGCAAAAACGCGTGCAACTAGAGTACGGAAGGTTATAAAGTTCGAATCAACTGACGGCGTCCGTTTCTTTGATTGCTCTAAATAGCGAGGAGACTCCATCGCGATTGTTACAATATATATATAGATTTTGCATTGATGGGCAGGATAACCGATGTGTATTTTCCAGGTAGTTTTTCCATGTGACATACGCATATATGGCCTTTATTTTACTACCAAAGCATCTGTGGAACATAAATTTTTAGTTTTCCTTTATACCTGGTTTTATGTTGTAAATTTAAATCGAAGTTTGACGGCCTAAGGAAGACAAGTGAATGGAAAGTTTTCCCGTTTGAATCGGAAGGGATAGATAAATCAGTAGTCTGCAAAGTTCCTTTGTTGGGTTCAGGTAGAAGTATATAATCACCTCCCCCATCCACGTATGCCATCTTTTCGTTCCATATTGTGATGACTCAAGACAAAAATATTTATTTTCCGAAAAGGCCATCCTGAAACCCCCCTTTTCTTTTTGAAAAGAGTTGAAACACCGTAGTAAGTAGGGAAAATACTGAATACCTAAGGAATGAATCATTGTAAATAAAGCCATGATGGATTAATCTTTACTCCATATACCAAGATATTCATGATATTCCCATCAATCGTAATCTAGTGTACTAGTACCTAGTACTTCTTTATCTTGGTTACTCCAGGTTATTGCTTCCAGTTTTTCCTTTATATGGCCTTAAGAAGCATTTTTCAATTGCTGCCTTCTTTTTCGATGTTTATATATATATACTTTATTTTAAATGTAAGTTCCATCAACCTCAGAATTTCTCAAATTATTCAAATATGATAGATACCCTGTTGTATTTCGTAAATTTAAATCCATTATAGGATGATCCAGCAGTGGTTTGGTTTCTAACTATAAAAGCCCAGTTTGAATAGAAAATTCAATATTCATGCCAAGAATGAATACGTCAATAAAGATGGATTATCCCTTTGTTGAATTCTATATAGAGGGAGAGTTGGTACAGCCCAAGACACAACTGCGGCAAGGGGTATTGGCTAAATCCTTAGCTAAATTCTCACCTGCGTGGATTTATGGTCAACATCTGAAAGTATAGTTATCTGAGGTCAAGGGCATTTTGGATTAGCTCTGATTTGAATGAAACTATGTGCTGTCTTGTCACTCTTATAATCTAATCACACAGCAAAACAGGCACTTTTTCTTGAGATTAGTTGAAGCACACAAGCAGGTAGTAAGCAACCGACCGAAACTTGTAAAATAAATCATTGTTAAAGCAATAATTCAGCATTAACTCTTTGACCAAATTCTAATCGATTATAACTGATCGAAAAGCAAACGTATCGGTTCTTCATCTTAGATATTTATCGTAAAGTTCCTTTCAAGTCATCGTGAGAAGCCTGCTTCAATTGCTTTTGAAAAGTCTTATCATTGTAAACGCGTCATTTATCAATCAAATTATTCTAATCTAGTGGTTACTATAATCTAACGTACTGAAAATTTCTTTCTATTATAAGTCTAACCTACGCCTTGCTTAAAACTAGTCCTTGTCCCATAAGACCCCAACCCAAAGATTGATTGATTGATTGGTCGGTTAACCAATCAATCAATCAATCAGTCAATCTCAGCTGGCGGTACTTCCCCCCTCCTCCAAGAGGGAGTGTCACATTCCCTACAAATAAATATTTACCATAATTAACCTATTCGAAAGAAAAAATAATTATTTTATTAAAGCAAACTTTAATTATAGCCGGTTTCAAACTTATTTCCAATTATGATCTTCACTTTTACATAAATAAATACCAGAAATAATGTTCGTTATATAATATCAAAAGTTGTTGTTTTGTTGTTTCTTATCCCACTTGGTTAGCCAAGCCCACGAGCCCATACGTGCTCATGATTGAAGGGGAAGGAAGCAGCTTCTGTTGTGATGGAGCACCCGGAGGTAGAAGCCTGACTTTTGCTCCGTGACGCTCTTACAGTCATAGGAGACTGGGACCTACAGCTTAAAGTGGATTCCGAACCACTACAAACATCCATGGCACCGCCGGGATTCGAATCCGAAACCTGTGGCACCGAGCGCCAGAGCGCTAGACACTCGGCCATTCAGGTCCCAAATTTGCCAACGGCACGCGGTGTTCCCAGGTGGTCACCCACCCAAGTACTGACCGAGCCCAATGATGCTTGACTTCGGTGATCTAACGAGAACCGGATATCAAAAGTATTTGTCAGATAAGGGTAATTTCCAAATTTTGTTATTTAATACAGATAAAAAGCAAATGCAATTGCAAAAAAAAATGAATATGGAACATAATAATAAAACAAATAAACATATGCAGTATCTTGCGAGATATTTATATAAGAAGTATTAAATAATTAAAGAAATGAACATAACGTTAAACTTACGCAATGTTTTACTATCTATTTATATAATATTTATTTAAAAAAAAATTAAGAAATGAACTCTAAAATAGGATAGACTTGTTACAACAAATTTGTTAGACCAAAAATAAAAAATAAAAATAAAACAATTTGTTAAACCACACTAGATTTGTTACATCAAATAGATATTTGCACGCTTGTAACGATAATACAAAATCAAGAAATATTCAAAATATATAAATATTACTAATACTTGGTATACATACTGTTTATGTCGATGACAGTCTTTAATATTAATTAAATATTAGTATTGACAAGTATTCATTCCATTAATTTTAGACATGTTTATACACAGATTTTTGGCTTTGCTTAAAAATTTGCGGCCTGATGGCCAATTTGCAAGCGCTCTGGCCTTTAATAGTCCGGCCACAGGCTTCAAATTCGAACCCTAGCGAAGGCATGGATGTTTGTTAGGGGTTCGGAATCTACATTAAACTGTAGGTCCCGGTCTAATTAGTCCAGAGTGTGCAAAAATCATCGTAGAGCGACAAACCAAACTAAACCTTGAAAATTTTCTTTTTCTTATTGGTACATACAAAATATGCCACAAATTCTCAATAGGATTAAGTTCAGGCAATTATGGAGGGGACTCCTGATGATCGAGTGACTAGAGCTCGGTGCGATAGGTTTTCGGGTTTGAATCCCAGCGGTGCCATGGATGTTTGTAGTGATTCGGAATCCCCTTTAAACTGTAGGCCCCGGTCTAATATGACTGTACAGCGTTGAGCGTAGATTTGACAACCCTACAACCGTAAAAAGAAAACATATCTTATCTCGAAATCTGCAAACAGGCAGACAGCTTTGGCCCACCATGGGGCTGTTGCGCCAATGAAAAATAAGTATAATTATGGAAGGGTTTTCAATAAATTTGATATGTTATATAGCAATCATAGCCTCATTATCTTTGCAGTACATTTCGGATCATCGTCGTGTTGAAAATATTAATCAGTGTACAATTTAATAAGTTATGTTACAATTTTATAAGTAATAAGGTGTGTTAATGTGTACAGAAGTATCTCAATTTCAGTGTACAATTTAAGTTATCTCGCAAATTATATCAACATATTTTTCGAATTCAAATAACTTTCAATAAACATCATTTTACCTGATTGCATTAAAAGACGTTTGTTCCCAAATGTGACTGTAACTGAACAATATTTTAAAGGATTTAAATGGGCATTTTTATATTTACTTTTTCTATCCAAACATTTAAAGCAATTCGAATAAACTTTTAAAGGGTCTTCAAAGTAGAAAATAACATGTTAAAAGGAATATATATAAAAAATAATCAATATTATGATTCAACTCCAAAAATTACGAAGTTAACATGAACAATAATTTTGAAAAAATGTTAATTGCAGAAAAAAAATTTCTAGTATTAAAACAAACCCTACTCGTAGTACAGTGAGCAGCTGCCATGCAGGAGATATTAGGTTTAAATCCGCTAGTGGCGTCAGTTGCGATTCCTACATTCCGAAATGGCCTGATAGCCAATTGGTTAGCGCTCTAACCTTTGGTATCACAGACTTCAGGTTCGAAGCCTGGATGTTGTTAGAGGTTCGGAATCCACGTTAAACTGTAGGTCCCGGTCTAATTAGCCTAAAGTTTGCACAAAATGACCGTAGAGCGACAAATCAAACCTACTTTCAGAAACAAGGATACTCGATGAAGATTGTGGCAATGCGTGTTAAGCATCGATAGTCAGATGACTGATTGATGAGAGTTTTCTCGAGTTCTCTCTCATACGATGAGAAATTACGGAGCAGTTACTCTAAAAGTCCTTCTTAAAAGCAGTGTCTTCTCCTCATCACCTGTCGGTGAGCTGAGCATATAATAATGGACACATTCCCACCGATTTTCAATAAAAGTATATTTAAAAAAGCACATATAGTTATTCTTATTTCAGAACGGTGTATATTAATATTAATGAGCTTTTCTATATTTTAAGTTAACAAAAAACATTGTTTGTTTCTTGCTTTCTGATTCACAAAATATTAATGTAAACGATAACAAACGTGAAAACACGACTTTTTCCATCATGAAATTTTTCCGCAAATTTTAGAACTCCTATACATTATTTTTATTTAATAAATGTCATAAATAAAATGTCACGACAAGCTGCATCTGTACTTTCATAAAAAAAAATTTTTTAAAAAAACATTGTTTTTTGTTTTCTGATTCACATACAAGATATCAACATAACCGATGATAAAAAATGTAAAAAAAAAAAAAAAAAAAAAAAAATCATTCAGGAAATTTTTCCACAAGTTTTAGAACTCATTTTAGTTTAGTTCAAACTAGCTTTAGTTTTAGAACTTTTTTATGCATTACTTTCATTCAATAAATATCATAAATAAAATGTTACGACAAGCTACATTGGTATTTCTCTTTTTTCTTCAAATATGAAAATCTTCAATTTACAAAAAAAGCGCAACTCTTACAAATCTATAGACTATTTTGTACTTATGTGAAACATCGATCTTTAATACAAACTAGAACATTCTTATAAATCTTCAATATAAATTAAGTATAATGATGATTTCTTTTTTTTTCAAATGCAAAATGCAAATGGCATGAAGTTCTGTTCCATTATAATAGCAGATATATAGCGGATTCAGCATTTTCTTGAATACACCTCGTGAAAATTGGTACTCTGAATAAATGGGGATATTCTAGTATGGAACAATTAACCTCAACAATGGCATGGGAATTTTAACATCTTCTTCCTCTCTTCCTCGAGAAGAACTTCCCAGCTTACAGATTTATAGTGCCTCTTCCAAGAATAGGTATGAGAGCTTTCGTTCAGTTTTTCTCGTATATCGTATATCTCTTCCTCATTCGTGTTTCGAACCGAGTTTCTTTCTTAGCTCAGAAAGCAACCAATTCATATTAGAGTAAATATATAATATAAAGTGATACTTAAATTAGTTTTCATAACATCCCTTGAGCTTATACAATGCTTTTAAAACACAAAATCCATTACTTACATTAAATCCATTAAATCCAACTGTATTGTGCATTTGTACAAATTCCGCTGTAATATAACTTAATTTTGTTATTGTATGAAATTACATTATATTATAACGATCTCTATGTTCTATAGCTACGTGAATATTGAAATCACCAGTCAAAAGTTATATTTTATTATAACCACGTATGCTACTCCTTAATTATCAATAACAGCGCCGAAATATTTTTCTAGTAAATCAACTGTCAAGAGTCGATTGATAAATATTCATTTTAAACTGTCACGTATTTTTAATGGCTCAACTTCTTTAAATTCCACCAGAATGTATGAAATCATAAACTTGAATACTTTTATACATATATGCCACGAAGTTATTCATTAGTTTGAATCGTTTTACATAGTAAATCCATACATTTCTGCTATTTTCATTCTCACAATTTTTAGCCTTATTTGTCGTTTACATATGTATTTTTTTTTTTATGTATTCTCATACCAAGATATGCCGTTTATACATTATATCTAGACCAAACAGGGTATGGCTCACATCTGTACTCTCACCTAGTCATAGGGATTATATCCGTTAAATTCGACAATAATAACCTGAAGAGAACGAATTGTTAAGTATTCGAGTCATGACGAATAGTTAATCAATTTCAATGAATTATCAATTTAAATCATTTTAAGCACTAAAATCATATAAAGCATTAAAATCATATTAAGCTCTAAAACCATATTAAGCTCTAAAACCACAAATTTCTGCTTTTTCCCACGTTTTTAGTCGTATTTGTCAGGTAAGCATTTATTTTTATAAAAACGTCCCTCCCATACCACCATGTTTACACATGATTTTTAGACATACCATAGCACTTTCATATAGCTGTAGTGGATTATATCTGTTAAATCAACAATAATAACCTGAAGAGAAAAAATTGTTAAGTATTCAAGACGACCCTTTCATCAATTTGAATTATTTATCAATTTAAATCATATTAAGTATTAAAACCACAAATTTCTGCATTTTTCTTTATTTGCCAAGTACGTATTTACTTTTATAAAAACCTCACTTCCATACCAACATGTTGCCCCATGATATTTAGATAATTTTATTATATTTAGACATTATTATAGATTACCATAGTTCTTTAACATGGCTATAGTGGATTATATCCGTTAAATTCAACAATAATAACATGAAGAGAAAGAATTGTTAAGTATTCGAATCATAAAGAACAGTCCGTCCATTTAAATCATATTAAGTGCTTTTTAATTTAAAACCCCAAATTTCTGCTTTTTCTCACAATATTTAGTCTTATTTGTCAGGTACGCATTTATTTTTATAAATACTTCACTTCCGTACAATCATATTCACTCATGATATTTAGACATACCATAGTACTTTCATAAAGCTAAAGTGGATTATATCCTTTAAAACAACAACAATAACTTGAAGAGAAAGAATTGTTAAGTATTCGAATCATGACGAATCTTTCGTCAATTTAAATTATTTAACAATTTCAAACATATTAAGTATTAAAACCACAAATCTCAGCTTTTTTTTTTTTTTTTTTTTTTTTTTTTTTTTCAGTCTTATTTGTCAGGTACACATTTATTTTTATAAATACATCACTTCCATACCACCATATTCTCTGATATTTAGACATTCCATAGTAATCTCACCTGGTCATAGTGGATTTAATTGGTTCAATTCAACAATAATAATCCGAAGAGAAAGAATAGTTAAGCATTCGAGTCATGATGAACCTTTCATCAATTTAAATTATTTATCAATTTCAAATCATATTA